CAGCTGTAGGCGACTGGTGACTCCTGTTAGCAGGCTAAGAGCTTCTACCTTCTCATTGTTCTTTATCCCCTTCATTTCATTCCGTATCCAATACCCATCCAGTGGGCGGTGGTGGAAAAGGTTGCAGAATCACATATTGAGATCCGGAACTAAACCCCAAAATTTCATTGAAGCGAATAGCAGTTTTGATAAGCAAGTAAAGACAGTTAAATGTATATATATATATATATATATATATATATATATATATATATATATATATATATATATATATATATATATATATATATATATGCTTGCGGGGGGGGGGGGTCCTGTTCTTTCGGCCCGCCTTTGAACTGTCAATCAACTGTTACTAACTACTAATTTATTTTTTACACACACACACACACACACACACACACACACACACACACACACACACACACACACACACACACACGTGTGTGTATGTACACTTCGCAATCAGTAATTTCCAGCCAGTAACTTAACTATTCTAACGTACGAATTCTTTGTCGAAACTGGACCTAATAATTGTGGAAGGAGGTGGTCTTTACAACTTGTTCTTTCAGGGCATTCCACTTGTGAACCACCCGTACTGGATACGAGTGCGGGTGATACCTTATGATGATACCTCTGATACCTTACGTTCCTTGTTCTGGTTTGCGTTACCAGCTTCCACTTGTTGACCACACATCCTACTTTCTGTCACTTTAAAGAGGCTGACATTGTCAACCTCAGAGGTGAGGAACCTGCGGGCTTTCATGGTACTAAGTGCGGCTTTCGAAAGTCATTGAAAGATTCACGTGAAATACTATTTAAACCATATATAATGAACAATGGCATTATAATACAACTGAGTTGAAATCTTGTTATGCATTAATAGTCAGAACTTAAAAATCCCCCCCCCCCCCTTCAAAATTCCCCAAACTCTTTGCAAAAATCGATTACAATGCAGTTGTCTGAATATTTTGTTTTGATACGATTACAATTTTGTAAACAACGAAATTATATTAGAAACATGTTGTTTACTAAACAACGATCAATTTTCTTTACACCACCAAATTACAATTAGACATATTTTTTTATAAAATTGGTCTTCATTACTTTATAAATGAATATATGTCTTTTATAATCCAATGAAAATATGTTAATAACATTCACATAAGACACACACTACTCAACACAAAGTTCTTGAACCACATTAAAATACAAAGTAATCTTAAAATTATGCTAATGTCCTCTTCGATTCAGAACATTTATCTTTCCTTATCTTTTTGCTATAATACAGAGCAATAAAATATATTCATAATATATTCTGGAGCTTTAACTATAAGCCACTGCAATATAAAAAAAGATCTGATACAGCGACACTGGAGACATCTCCCGTCACGCAGGGTGCAGTCGCACCTCCACAGATCTCCAGTATCATCTATTGATACTGGAAATGGCTCAAAAGGGCCACCAATTATGGGCTATTCATGCCCAAGCCACCTTTTGGGTGGCTTAATCTTTCTCTCTCTCTCTCTCTCTGATACAGCGTATTATTAGCTGATTCCACCACCGCCCACGGGATGGGTATGGTGTGGATAATAAATCAATTGAAACAAAATCCAAGAAATCCAGATTTACGCCAATCCCTGTTGCAGCTTTATGAAATCTTGAATAAAATAAGGCCATCGTATCGTGTCACTTCTTATGACAAAATGTTTCTGCCACCCGTGTTCAACCTTATCAATTCATCGTGTTCATTAATTGATGAAGCATTTGTCCCTATCAGCTATATATATATATATATATATATATATATATATATATATATATATATATATATATATATATATATATATATATATATGCTAGCCCTAAGTGTTTGGCCTCCGACTCTGGACAGACAAAAACACATTATATTTATTATAGATTTCCGCAAGTTGGGTAAAATTCTTGCTGGCAATTGAAGCTTGATCCAAAGATCAGTTAATGCTCTTTTAGTTAAACGGCTTACGTCCCCCCCCCTGACGCAGGACTTCGTTAAGAAGCGGTCCCTGGTGGAGGTGGGGGAGTTAGTGTGCCAGGAGTCCACCGCCCACGGGATCGGCCACACTTGGAACAACCGCAGGAACCCGCTCGGCGTCTTCTGGTTCCTCGTCACCGCCGCCCTCTTCATCTTCCTGCTCGTCGTAGCTGTGAGACTCGTGCGGGACTTCATCCAGAGGGACGTCCAGTCACAGGCGAGTGATTCTCCAGTATGCAGACGAGGAGTCACAGTATCGTGGCTGGAAATATGTTGACCAAGTCACACACTTGAAAGTGAAGGGACGACGACGTTTCGGTCCGTCCTAGACCGAAACGTCGACGTCCAGCCACAGGCGAGTGATTCTCCAGTATGCAGGCGAGGAGTCACAGTATCGTGGCTGGAAATATGTTGACCAAGCCACACATTAGAAAGTGAAGAGACGACGACGTTTCAGTCCGTCCTGGACCACAAGCGACTTGAGAATGATCCAGGACGGACCGAAACGTCGTCGTCCCGTCACTTTCTAGTGTGTGGTTTTGTCAACATTCTCCAGTACTATAAGGTGGTGGTGGAGCTGTTTCATTAATTCTCTTTTATCTTAGGGTCTCACGGGCGCCATCTTGAGGTTGTTAATAATATTTTCTCATCCCACATTTAATGTAAGAAAAATTCCCACCGTGGAAAATTCAGATATTAAATTCCTGACTCGTAACATAAAAGTCTTTATCCCCTTTACAATATATTAAAACAAATTTGAATTAGCCTTTTGTAAAAAAAAAAAAAGTTTCAAATCTACTAACTTTTTTTATAGATGAATCTAAGTTAATATTGGAATATACGATTGAGTTTGTTCCATACAACTTACATGCGTAGTGTCCTTTTTGAGACAAATAATTTAAAGTATAAATGTATGTAATTCTATTTCTTTTAGGATGTTTAATTTGAATGGGCCCGCAATCATGCTGTCATACATTCACAAAGCATTTTAACGACTAGTGTATCTTTAATTTGTATATTTCTGTAGTATTTTAAATATTATTTTTAATATATAAATAATTTTAAAACCACAGTGACGGAAATTCAACATTAGTTGTATTGGTTTTAGCAGATACATAACAGTAGAGGTTCACGGGGTTATCTTGAGATGATTTCGGGGCTTAGCGTCCTGTCCTCAGCCCCCTACCCTCCACACCCTGTCCTCAGCCCCCTACCCTCGACACCCTGTCCTCAGCCCCCTACCCTCCACACCCTGTCCTCAGCCCCCTACCCTCGACACCCTGTCCTCACCTCCCCTACCCTCCACACCCTGTCCTCACCTCCCCTACCCTCCACACCCTGTCCTCACCTCCCCTACCCTCCACACCCTGTCCTCACCTCCCCTACCCTCCACACCCTGTCCTCTCAGCCCCCCCACCCTCCACACCCTGTCCTCAGCCCCCCCACCCTCCACACGCTGTCCTCAGCCCCCCCACCCTGTCCTCAGCCCCCCCACCCTGTCCTCACCTCCCCTTACCCTCCACACCCTGTCCTCAGCCCCCCCCCCCACCCTCCACACCCTGTCCTCAGCCCCCCCACCCTCCACACCCTGTCCTCAGCCCCCCCACCCTCCACACCCTGTCCTCAGTCCCCCCACCCTCCACACCCTGTCCTCAGCCCCCCCACCCTCCACACCCTGTCCTCACCTCCCCTTACCCTCCACACCCTGTCCTCACCCTTTCGCCTCCTCTCTCCCCTCACAGACGACGATGAAGATGATCAAGACAGGACAGCTGCAACTGCCTTCCGTTGTTCTCTGCAACAGACAACTCTTCTCCAGATGGAAGCTCCAAGGTGAGGCTCCTTAGTGTACTCATTTGTGCTTGCGGAGGTTGAGCTTTGGCTCGCAGTTGAGTTTAGTCCGACAGTGCGTGAGTGAGTGAGTGAGTGAGGAGTGGGTGATTTGCTGATTAAAAACTAATCTTCAGGTGTGAGTGATTTGCTGATAAGTTTTCAGGTAATTAATTATTAAAGTTTAACATTTTCTTATTGTACACTTGAATGTCTGCAACAGTCTATGAAATTGGTGAGAGGATTTGATCCTAAGTTGTGTATATACCATTTGACAGTCATTATATCACTAATTTGACAGTCATTATATCACTGTATCATATACACACTGATTCAACCTATTTGTTTCACCTTCTCGATTACGAAGCTCCCGTGGGCTGTATAATGTTAGGACATACACAAAGTGTATACATCATAAGCACTACATATACACCATACACATTATACAAACTGTATTTATATATCATGCACACTGTAAAACCCATCATACACACACTCTACATACTGTTTCACCTACTCATGTCTCTCAGATTACATCCATTCTAGCCAGCTATGTCTCTAACACCTTAATCTTCCTTAGTACGGGTCGCCCTTTACACGGGGACTAATATTATGCATGTTATCCCTACATCCGGAGCCTGTTACTAAGCTATCCCCACATCCGGAGCCTGTTACTAAGCTATCCCCACATCCGGAGCCTGTTACTAAGCTATCCCCACATCCGGAGCCTGTTACTAAGCTATCCCCACATCCGGAGCCTGTTACTAAGCTATCCCTACATCCGGAGCCTGTTACTAAGCTATCCCCGCCTCTCCGTGCCTCTGCCAGCTCTCAACATCAGCTCTCGCCTTACTAACTACCTCATCGCCATCACCGGCTCAGCTTTCATCCTGCGGGAGGAGTTCCTGGTGACGAGTGAGGGTCAGGCCTTCCTCAGGGACTCCCACAGCCAGCTCCTCTCCCTCATGCACGCCCACAACCTCACACACAGCCAGCTCATCGACGCTATCTCATACAGGTATGTTTACTCGCCAAAATGTTCAGCATGTGTTCTTTTCTTCCTATTGACGGTCAGCCTCAGCTACTTTTGATGTCACATGTTTAGTTAGGGTGTGAGCCGACTGACTTCCTCCTCCTTGGGTACAGGTGTGAGGAACTGGTGCTGCGTTGCGGAGTTGGGACCACCAGGATGGATACGACGGAGTGCTGCCGAGACTTCGTGACCACTCCGACGATGAGCGGCAAGTGCTACACTTACTTCGCCGCTGCTAACCACACCCAGGCTATGGAGGGGGAGTACCTCGGGGTGTCCCTCTATATCAACGTTACCCAGGACGATCACCCAAGTGAGTAGATCTGGCTGTATATATATCACTCACCCCAGGTGTGGTGCTCTACATCAATGTTACCCCCGTTGTGAGCAGGTGTGGTGCTCTACATCAATGTTACCCCCGTTGTGAGCAGGTGCGGTGCTCTACATCAATGTTACCCCCGTTGTGAGCAGGTGTGGTGCTCTACATCAATGTTACCCCCGTTGTGAGCAGGTGCGGTGCTCTACATCAATGTTACCCCCGTTGTGAGCAGGTGCGGTGCTCTACATCAATGTTACCCCCGTTGTGAGCAGGTGCGGTGCTCTACATCAATGTTACCCCCGTTGTGAGCAGGTGCGGTGCTCTACATCAATGTTACCCCCGTTGTGAGCAGGTGTGGTGCTCTACATCAATGTTACCCCCGTTGTGAGCAGGTGTGGTGCTCTACATCAATGTTACCCCCGTTGTGAGCAGGTGCGGTGCTCAACATCAATGTTACCCCCGTTGTGAGCAGGTGCGGTGCTCTACATCAATGTTACCCCCGTTGTGAGCAGGTGCGGTGCTCTACATCAATGTTACCCCCGTTGTGAGCAGGTGCGGTGCTCTACATCAATGTTACCCCCGTTGTGAGCAGGTGTGGTGCTCTACATCAATGTTACCCCCGTTGTGAGCAGGTGCGGTGCTCAACATCAATGTTACCCCCGTTGTGAGCAGGTGCGGTGCTCTACATCAATGCTACAGTTTGTGAGCAGGTTTGGCACTCTACGTAAGTGTTACTCTTATGAGCATGCTTGGGGTGTCTTCATTAGTTACCCAAGTGTAGCTTTCTACATCAATATTTCCCCCAGGTGAGTAGGTGTTGCCCTTTGGGTCATTGTCGCTGAGGAAAGGAGGTTAGTGACCCATCTTACTCGAATGACTTCGCCGACAAGCACTATAGTTAATTCATTACACAAAGCCATTATCCCAGATCTTTTCATCCAAAATTCTAAGTAGCTGATTTTCTTTCCTATGGCGTATCTCTATAAACAAACCTATAATAAGCTACACTTGTATTGCGGAAATGTTTAGCTTGATAAATGACTGAAGATGAACTTAGTGAGTGGCACATTGCTGTCTATAAGAATGTTCAATGTCTTTCAATGTTTTGGAGATTCCACACGTGGCGTTTGTTTTATATGTCATTGTAACTACATGGAACAATAAGAACATAAGAACAAAGGTAACTGCAGAAGGCCTATTGGCCCATACGAGGCAGCTCCTGAATATAAGCGAATATTTAACTTACAGAAGAATATCTTGCTCAGCAGACATCGATCCAAACATCCTGGACGTGTCTCAGATGGTGAAGACGGGTCTTCAGATGACGCTAGTGAGCAACCACACTCATCCCTCCTTCTTGGCTGTGGGCCAGGGCGTCTCCCTCCTCCCGAAGGTCTACACCGCCGTCGATGTCTCTCTCACTGTGGTCAGCACACTCGCCATTTTTCCTGAATGTGATATATTTGTAATTATGTTAGTGGAAAAGAAAAGTTTCAGGTTTGTGATATTTTACATGTGACAGCAGTTTCTTTGGAAACAGGAAACTGTGTTCCATAGGTGCAGTGATGCCTCAACTTACACGTGACACTTAACCCGCCAAATACACACCGAAACTATGACATTAGTGCAACGTTCGAACAAGGTTTAACACCTCCTAACAAGTTGTAACAACGTTCTAATACGTCATAAACACGTTAAGCCAAGATGTAACAACTTTATTACAAGTTGTAGCAAGCGGAAAATAGAGACAGTTTCGGTTTGTGTTTCCAGGGTTATACACAAATAGGCAGTTATACTGCCTGTTTGGTACCAAAACCCAAACTATGAAACTGCTAAAAATTATAATGTTCTGAGCCTCCCACCACTAGAGGGCTGACAGCTGTAAGTGAACTGGGACTTCCTTAGGAACACACACACACAAAAACAAATTGTTAGTAGTTAGTAACAGTTGATTGACATTTGAGAGGCGGGCCGAAAGAGCAGAGCTCAAGCCCCGTAAGCACAACTCGGTGAATACAACTAGGTAAATACTGGGCAATGATGCAATGATCTACAAAAAGTAATTTAGAGATAAAATAATTTTTTTTTTAAATTATAACGACTAGTAGTTATTTTAAAAATTCTTGAATAAAATTTTAAATTCTTTGAATATTTAAAATTCTTGAAATATTTTATATTTCAAGAATTCATATTTATAATTCTTGAATATTTAAAATAAAAAATATGAATTAATTATATTTAAACCTTTCAGGATTTACTGTTTTACACATTTTGTCGGATTTGATATATTTGGTTTCCTCTTCCTGTAATTAGCGTCTCAGTCAGCACGTTGACAGTTGATTAATAATATTAATAAAGTCATTTTAACTAGTGGCATAATGTAACTCATCCTCCAGCTTAGATAGTACCTATTGTGACAATCTTCAATACTTAGAATTCGTACGTTCGTAGCTTTTAGATAGTAGTATACTGACTAGAGAGGAATTATTTTAAAATATATGAAGCTAAAATACAAACTTACATATTCCTAGACCTAGTATACCAGGCATAGTTACCATATTAGGCCTCAGATATTGTGTATAACCTATCCTAACGAAGGAAGGTTAGGCTAGGCTAGTTTAGTGTGTCAAAGCAACACTTGTGTATAGCCTATCCTAACGAAGGGAGGTTAGGTTAGGCTAGTTTAGTGTGTTAAGGCAACACAAGCCTAAAAACAGTTTTCCGGTTTGTCCAACTCAATAGTTCAGACTTCTACGTTCTAATTTCGTTGTACGTTGTCAAATAACACAAGAGATACGTCGAAAAAACACAAGAGAACTTTAACCATGATCAATATCAAATACTTATTTAAACATCCTAAAAAAAAAATGATGTTTTATGGTAAACCAGTCATACAGATTCCCCCCTAACTGACTCCAGGTGAAGGACGCGGGCATGAAGACAATGTTTGACTGGTCGGAGACCGAGTGTGTACCATTAAACAAGGTCAACTACCGGCTCGACGTAGAAGCCTTCCTAAATACTGAACCCAACTGCGACGTCGGAGCCTCGCGTTCCTGCTTCAAGGAGATCTGCAACTGCACTAACTATGGGCTAGATAACTCACAGGGTGGGTGATTTTTTTTTTTTAGTATTTTCTACCACAAACGTGGTCACACATTTACAATGCTAAACAGTATACATTTTCTTCTGTCCTCCATAGACAGGGTTAGAGATCAGTTAAGCATATAGTTCAGGGATTTATTGAACAATCAACCACAGAAGGTGATTCGGTACGACGGGCCCAGGGGTCTGATTCACCAAGCAGTTACGCGATTACTTACGAACGTGCACATCTTTCCTCAATCTTTGGCGCCTTTGTTTACAATTATTAAACAGTTGATGAGCTCCGAAGCACCAGGAGGCTGTTTATAACAATAACAACAGTCGATTGGGAAGTTTTCATGCTTGTAAACTGTTTAACAAATGTAACCAAAGCCGTCAAAGATTGATGACAGATGTACACGTTCGTAAGTACTTGCGTAACTGCTTCGTGAATCTGGATCCTTGGCAGGTATTGGAAGGAACCCGATCGTGCACGTCCTTCAACTCAAACTTACACAGCTCGCTTATGCCCAGATTTTCAAGATGACCATAAATTGTTTTTTCCATTGATCTTCTTCAATCAGCTGTTATTAGACACATTCCTCAGTGACTCGAATATCTTTCATGCATCTATTCCTATGGCTTCCAGCTCTGACATCAGCATTTATTTGAGTCTCTGACTTTCGTTAGTAACTTGAATAGCCCTCTAATGACTTAGAGGGCTATTCTCTAAGCCCTCTTCCCTGAGGGGCTTAGAGAATAGCCCTGATAATGTCTTTCTTACTTACAGACAGCTGGACCCCTTGCCCACTAGATGTAAATTTCTAATGACTTAGAGGGCTATTCTCTCAGCTCTCTTCCCTGAGGGGCTTAGAGAATAGCCCTGATAATGTCTTTCTTACTTACAGACAGCTGGACCCCATGCCCACTGGATGTAAATTTGTAATGACTTAGAGGGCTATTCTCTAAGCCCTCTTCCCTGAGGGCTTAGAGAATAGCCCTGATAATGTCTTTCTTACTTACAGACAGCTGGACCCCTTGCCCACTAGATGTAAATTTCCAGTGTTTTGGCATACTCTTTAACACGAAGAACATCACTCCTCCACACAATGCCTACGGCACCATTCTTCAAAACGAAAAGAAGTTGAACCTAACCTTATCTGATCAGTGTTTGGAGCAAGGTAAGGAACCGTAACAACACGGGATATTGAGTTACACAAAATGTTATGTTACAGTTTGTTACACATTTCTTTGCACTTTTAAAACAGATTCATAGATATTCAAGCCTCATTGCTTCATATGATCATTCATGGTCATCATTACTCCATTTAAACGTTGGAGTTTGGTTGGTTGGAGATGCCTCTCTATAATGCCTCTCTATATAAATAATGCCTCTCCAAGCAAACGTTGGTTGGAGAGGCATTATTAGCTCAAGAGGAAAATATAAGGGCAAGGTTTAGTAAAATTAAATATTCAACATACAAGATATTTATTAAAGTATCATATCTTCCACAGCATCACGTACAATCAGCATCATCATATTCTAGTATTTTCGTGGATTATTTAGAGCAATTCGACGCCTCCTTATAACATGCATTGTGCATCCTGTGATTAACCATCTAAACATACGTTAAATATTCACTGTTTCAGCAAAGAGATTCCCCGCCCTCTTAGACGTATTTCTTCTGGTTCATGTGCTATTTGCACTCATTTTCTGCTTGCTTAAACCGAACATGTCTGTTCATCGTCTGAACATTTCGCTTCTCTTCTCACTCTTTCATTCACTTTGCACTATTTACCTCTGTATTATCATCCATTCGTTCAGTATAACCAAACCTCGTAAATAAACGTTTTTAATCTTATGCTTTACCAAGTTCTGCACGTCACAATTTTTCTATTGGTTTTTCATTCAAAATCATGTAACTATTGTAATTTTCAAACCTGTTTTACAAATAATCTTGTACTTATACATTCCTAGTTTGAACATGAAGTATACCTTTCTCAAGATAAAGCTTCTTATCTAATTAAATCTTGTATTTATACATTCCTAGTTTGAACATGAAGTATACCTTTCTCAAGATAAAGCTTCTTATCTTATTAAAGCTATCTTATTATCTTATTAAAGCTACTACCTTGATTTGATAAAGCTTATCATATATTAAAAAAGGTAATGCATGCTGGAAACGATTGACATAAAGATATCTTATGTAAATAGCCCGAATGAACCAAATCGTCGTAGGTTCGAATCCTCTTCACGGCCCTTGTGGCTTTGTTCATTTGACTGTTGTTGTTGTTTAAGATTCGCTACCAGGAACACAAAGTTCCAAGTAGCACGGGCTATGGTGAGCCCGCAGTGGATTTATGTTCATTTGATGCATCACGCTATTGTGATTTCGGTGTGTAATAGCCTAATAGCCTTCCCGGCTTGGTGCCTTCTTTGATAATTTCTTGTTGTGTAAACAGCAAAACATAGATGCCGGCGCCCGTGTTCCCGTTACGACTACACGTACACGAGCACCCACCTGCCGATACAGGAATATCTCTACAAGGACCTGCAGGACCAGTTCTCTCTCCAAAATGGGTAAAAACATATTTTAATGTTGGGGTTTTATAGTAGCGCAGTAGTCAGCGTAATCAGGTTCACAACCGATCGGTCTAGAGACGCTCAGCTCCCGCCAAACACACACCGAAACTACGACGTTGGTACAACGTTCGACACCCCCTAACCAGTTATAACAACCAATATAGCAAGTTGTAACAACGTTCTAATACGTCATAAACACGTACAGCCAAGTTGTAACAACTTTATTACAAGTTGTAACAAGCGGAAAATAGACAGTTACGGTTTGTGTTTCCAGGGAGGTGCGTTACCTTTCACCTTACGCCCCTGTTCACCTAGGTACTCAGGAGTTAGGCGGCTATTATGGCTCGGGTTCTTAAGAGGGTCAACTAGGAGAGCCTCGATAAGCCTAAAAGGCTCCTGTCCTCCAAGAATGGGAAGCCGTGTCACATATACCTTAAGAATATCATAAGATGCAACCATATATAATGTTGTGTGTAGGTTCTGAGTATATTACTGCTTGTTGCAGCTGCAAAATTCAATAACCTGGAAACTAAGTAGGAATATTTGATAAACATAACTAACAAATTATAACCTTCCAAGTTATCATTAAAACAGAGGCATAATCCATAATTCTCATTCTAATAGACGATATTGAAAGTAAGAATATTTATGCTTTACGAAGGTCTTCAGATTCTCTGGTGGGTGAACCTGGAGCCAAATTCACGAAGCAGTTACGCAAGTACATACGAACGTATACATCTTTCCTCAATCTTAGACGGCTTTGTTTACAATTATTAAACAGTTAATGAGCTCCGAAGCACCAGGAGGCTGTTTAAAACAATCACAACAGTTGATTGGCAAGTTTTCGTGCTTGCAATTATTACAATTATTAAACAGTTAATGAGCTCCGAAGCACCAGGGGGCTGTTTATAACAATAACAACAGTTGAATGGGAAATTTTCATGCTTGCAAACTGTTTAATAAATGTAACCAAAACCGTCTAAGATTGAGGAAAGATGTATAGGTTCGTAAGTGCTAGCGCAACTGCTTCGTGAATCTGGCCCCAGGCTTTCACTCATGTATCTACAGGAGTGACGTGTCTGTGGCCGTGGCATTCTTCCCTAATCTGCGCTACACGGAGATCAAGACATGGCGTAAAGATATAGAAGAGTTTATGAGTAAGTATTAATGATGTTCAACTTAATAGTAACTGGACGAATATAAATGAGAATAACGATGACAGCGGAGTCCTGTTCATAGATAATAATTAAGAGCCTGCCAGAAATATTGCCTTAAGACGTAATGTTTGATTCAGCAGTCATTAACTTAGAGGCTTCGTCCTGCAGCGTTGCAACAGATGTATGCAGGAGTTAAACGTGTTAAATGACGCCTCTAAACAACAAATTATTAGTGAAATGAGAAGTTATATATATAAAGGACTCATTCTTATTACATTATACAGAAGGCATCCAAATGTAATGTAGCACTTGAGGCTTAGCACAAGCTGAGATCTGATTGAAATACGAACTTATCCAAAGCATGAACAAATCCACAAGGGCCGTGACGAGGATTCGAACCTACGTCCCAGAGCATCCCAGACGCTGCCTTAATCGGTCGATGCTCTCGGACGTAGATTCGAATCCTCGTCACGGCCCTTGTGGAATTGTTCATTTGATGTATCACGCTATTTGTGATTTCTGTGTGTAGTGTAGTTAACTAAAGCATTGTGTACAGGTGAGCTGGGAGGTTACACGGGTGTGTTCCTCGGCTGCTCCTTCGTCACCTTAATTGAGCTGTTCGTCTTCTTCGCCCTCATCTTCGCTGTCTTTGTGAGGAGTATTAATATGAAGCTATGCAACGGTATACACCCATCCCCATCCAAGTCCCCCTCGCACGAGATGAAGTAACTTCTCCACCTGAAGAGATATTTCTAAAGCAAGCCACTAACCATTAGATAAATGAGGACAAGCCAACGACCACCAGATGCAATCAGAACAAGTCAGCTACCCAGCAGATGCAACAAAACAAGCCAGCTACCCAGCAGATGCAACAAAACAAGCCAGCTGACAAACAGATGCAACAGAACAAGCCAGCTGACAAACAGATGCAACAGAACAAGCCAGCTGACAAACAGATGCAACAGAACAAGCCAGCTGACAAACAGATGCAACAGAACAAGCCAGCTGACAAACAGATGCAACAGAACAAGCCAGCTGACAAACAGATGCAACAGAACAAGCCAGCTGACAAACAGATGCAACAGAAAGCCAGCTGACAAACAGATGCAACAGAACAAGCCAGCTACCAAACAGATGCAACAGAACAAGCCAGCTGACAAACAGATGCAACAGAACAAGCCAGCTACCAAACAGATGCAACAGAACAAGCCAGCTGACAAACAGATGCAACAGAACAAGCCAGCTACCAAACAGATGCATACTGATATGTCAACTACTATCAAATATTCCTGCATACTACAATCCTTCAACAAACAATCCTGAGCAAAATTACTAAATATTTTTAGTCTTTTAAAAGTCTTAGTTACTTAAAAACTGCAAATGATTAAGATAGCAACCTCCTCCTCCCCCCCACAATAAATATCACATTCATCACTAATTCTCGAACTGGTACACCGTCTTGACTCTCAGATTCTTCCTGGATTACTCCTGAACGACTCTTGAACTCCTGAGCGACTCCTGAACGACTTCTGAACGACTCCTGGACTCCTGAACGACTTCTGAACGACTCCTGGACTCCTGAACGACTTCTGAATGACTCCTGGACTCCTGAACGACTTCTGAACGACTCCGGGACTCCTGAACGACTCTGAATGACTTCTGAACTCCTGAACGACTCATGAACTTCTGAACTACTTCTGAACGACTCCTGAACTACTTCTGAACGACTCCTGAACGACTTCTGAACTCCTGAACGACTCCTGAACCCCTGAACAACTACTGGTCCCCCCTGATTCGGTTCATGGCCTCCTTCCTGACTTGTTAAGGACTACTGAACTCTTGGATTCCTCCTAGATTCCCTTCGGACTTTACGAACTACTCCTAGACTCTTTCTGGACTCCTGAACTCCTACAGAGGCTCCTCCTTAAGTCCTTCCGGATTACTCGTGGACTCCTTCCTGATTTCTTCTAGACTTCTTCTGGACTACTACTGGACGTCCAGACTTTTTTTCTGGAATTCTTGCCGACTCCTCTTGGAATCATTCTGGATTCCTCATGAACTCCTAGATTCCTCCTGGATTTTCCCTGGATTCCTGAACTCATTCTGGACTATTCCTTGAGTTTTCCTAAGAAAACTTGACAAGACTTGTACAGAACTAGTCAGACTTCATTAAATGTTTGTCATAATAACGAGCCTCACACTTCTCTAATTGGGCAAGAGACGCTAATCCGACCTCTATATCATATTATTTAACGGCCTACTCATACTCCTAGCTACACTAGTTGCTGTAAACACTCTTGTTATTATGTTAGGAACCCGTGTTCGGAAACTAATACAGAATTACAACTTAACTATATGTTTACCTGAGACACCAACAGACGTGACCGTCCCCTCTCACTGTCAGATGGTTACTGACGCCAGACGCTTCTCCTTCGACGCCAATTTCTCTTAAAGGGATACCGCTTATTTTATATTTTGACATTTAATATTTAACCCTTTGCCTTCCAGAGGTTCTTTATATTGGCTTATTATCTAATATTGTTAGATAATTTGAGTTGCTTCTATTAGTTGGAAGATATTTGGTGGTATTTACAGTCAATACATTCAAATTCAATAGACCGACTCATTGGGTACGGTGTCATGGCTGCCCACACTAGATCTCTGAGAGAATACTTGGCTATATGATCACAAAGTCTAATGACGCCCTTAACAAACACTTATTTAAAGCAGAGATGCAATAGACACGGTGAGAGAGATAACTCGATCATCATTAAAGGCTCAAGACTTTTCAACACTCTTTCCAAGAGAATTCAAATGAGGTTTTAGCTTTATATTCAAACTACCAAATCCTGAAATCACGTCTGTTGGCAGACTAAGCCATAATTTTGAAGGCGCTTCATCCTTATTTATCCTTAGATTCTAAGGTACGCGATCTAACAAGGGAATGAAGTAGTTACGCAAAGAAGTTTCTCGAGATATGGGGAAAACGTCTATACTAATAAGTCTTAATTAAAAATAGCAACGGTGTATGCTTCCGTATAACTGGCACTATAATCATAATATGTGAGGTGATGCATATTAGGCAGTGATGTGGCTGACTCCATATGCAGTTTCATATGTAGAATTGATAGAGCATAATAGGCTCAGGAATCTGTACACGGTTAATTGACAGTTGAGAGGCGGGACCAAAGAGCCGAAGCTCAACCCCCGCAAGCACACCTCTTTGAGTACAATATTAGCACAGTGGAGTAGGGAGAAAATCTTCCAACAAAATGTTGATCAGTAGTATTGGATTCATAATAATAAATGTGAAATTAGTTTAGAGTTAGTTATATTGCAGTAGATAATTATTTCCTAATTTGTTAACTTAAAACCATTAAAAAGGAAGACAAATACATTTTGTATCTTTAAGAATATTAACTAACGGAATAGGAGAAAATCTAACCACTCAGAAATGACTAAGATTCTATCAAAATCTGATTTAGGATGTCCATGTGTTTTGACAATTTATCAAAATCAAAACTTTCAAATCAAAAGAAAAACTATCTGAAACCCCCAAAAGTAATGCCTATATGAATTACAGTCTTAATTGAAGTCTTTTTATGCAAAGATAAATAATTAGCTTAATCCAGTAAAACTAGGCTTCTTAAAAGAAACTTTCAAGAAGTCCGTTATTACAATTAGAGATTAATACATCCAAAATTGACTATTTCCCGGCAAACTCCTTATCAAACTACAAAATTAAAAATGTTATGATTAGAATTAAAATTATCCCAACACAAATCCACATGTGATGAATCAGTAATTAACCAAAAAAAATCATCAACATAGTTTTTACACAAATTTGTTTTAATTCATGACAGCCATTAAGCCTAATTTGTTCATAACACAATATAATAAAAACATAAACCATAGAGGCAAAAAATATAAATATATAGGACAGTATATTCATTCCACTACCTAAAGATATGTATTAATTTATGTATATCCCCCCAAAAAAACTTAGTCAATAAGCTTGCTGCCTTTTCAAATACAATGTCAGGAAGCCCCACTACCTAATATATCATGCCAAAACGTCAATTAATATTTGTATGTTATATTTCTAGAAGTCTTTTTTTATATAATGACCGAATAGCTTGTGTGCATACGGAAAAGTTATGTTTTGATCATTGTAAGCAAAGCTAATCAAACAGTTTGTCTCTGAAGCGTATACTGGCTTAGCACTTTCTCCTCGTGGTAAACAGTTTACCTTGTCCATACGTGTGTGAAGATGGTTTACAGGGCCACAGATGCTGACTTCAGGAGAAAGCGCCAAGCCAATACGACAATATGGAAGAGGGTTCCATCTTGTCCTGTTGACAATCCTCACCCCCCTTCCAAGGATTTGGGATGGGACGGGGGGAAGGAATGGTGCCCAACCACTTGTGGACGGTCGGGGATTGAACGCCGACCAGCATGAAGCGAGACCGTCGCTCTACCGTCTAGCCCAAGTGGCTGGGAGAAAATATTTGGAATATAAGATGGGGAATGGAACCAGTGTCATTGGTAATTTCAATGACACTGGTTCGATTCCCGTGCTGCTCCAAAGATTTTATTATAGATATATCACGTAATTGTGAGTTCCTCAGTACTTGTGACTAGGCTCCGATCGCGTAATATTATGTGATGTATGTATATAGGCTTCTACACATAGGCATTTAGTCCTGTATGTATATTTATAGTGTACATTGGTGACAAATTATGTATCATTGGGATCAGTGAATCATGAGGCTAATGTTTAATAATTGTTTCATCATACAATGTGTGTTTGACGCGATTTCAACAATATACAACTTATCATACCTTTTAATTCATATGAATTTTGTATGATAATATAGTTCCTTATTATTTATCATGGCAAATGTGGTCATTTTCAGCCAATTGTTATTTTTAAGCTGCATTAACTGAGCAGATTTTAGTGTTTAATCAGTCACAAAATTTGTTTAATATTTGCAATTAAAATTTATAAAGTAATAGCATTGCATTTCATCGTTCTCAAGTGATCACTCGAACCATACAATGTTTCACTCACAGGATGAGTCAGAGTGAAGGTAATTGTCACTCTCCTGTGAGTTTGGGAAATGTGTAATGTGCTATATTGAACACCATTGTTGACATTCTTACACCATCATTCACTATGCTCACAACATTGTCAACATTACACCATAAACCTTCACTATACTTACAACATTGTCAACATTACACCATAATCCTTCACTATGCTCACAACATTGTCAACATTACACCATAAACCTTCACTATACTTACAACATTGTCAACATTACACCATAATCCTTCACTATGCTCACAACATTGTCAACATTACACCATAATCCTTCACTATGCTCACAACATTGTCAACATTACACCATAAACCTTCACTATACTTACAACATTGTCAACATTACACCATAATCCTTCACTATGCTCACAACATTGTCAACATTACACCATAAACCTTCACTATACTTACAACATTGTCAACATTACACCATAATCCTTCACTATGCTCACAACATTGTCAACATTACACCATAATCCTTCACTATGCTCACAACATTGTCAACATTACACCATAATCCTTCACTATACTTACAACATTGTCAACATTACACCATAATCCTTCACTATGCTCACAACATTGTCAACATTACACCATAAACCTTCACTATACTTACAACATTGTCAACATTACACCATAATCCTTCACTATGCTCACAACATTGTCAACATTACACCATAAACCTTCACTATACTTACAACATTGTCAACATTACACCATAATCCTTCACTATGCTCACAACATTGTCAACATTACACCATAAACCTTCACTATACTTACAACATTGTCAACATTACACCATAATCCTTCACTATGCTCACAACATTGTCAACATTACACCATAAACCTTCACTATACTTACAACATTGTCAACGCTACAACACCATAAAATAATTTGAGTGATCTTATATACAAATGTATTTTTTGCTGACGCGTTTCTGAGTGTGGAAAGTGTTGTGAATCACGGATGTTGTGAATGACGGCTGTAGTGAATGACGAGTGTTGTGAATGACGTCTGTTGTGAATGATGGATGTTGTGAATGACGGATGTTGTGAATGACGGCTGTAGTGAATGACGAGTGTTGTGAATGACGTCTGTTGTGAATGATGGATGTTGTGAATGACGGCTGTTGTGAATGACGGCTGTTGTGAATGACGGATGTTGTGAATGACGGATGTTGTGAATGACGGCTGTTGTGAATGACGGATGTTGTGAATGACGGCTGTTGTGAATGACGGCTGTTGTGAATGACGGCTGTTGTGAATGACGACTGTTGTGAATGACGGATGTTCTGTATGGACAGATGTTGTGAATGGACAGATGTTTTGAATGGACAGATGTTGTGAATGGACGGGTATTGTGCATGAACCGGTGTTGTGAATGTACAATTGCTGCTTCAAACACATTTCCCTATAATTTAACTCTCTATTACCCTATTGCATTCCAAACCTGTTTGGGAAAATGGGAAGACAAATGGCTGTCCGCCCTTGAAGACGGGAGACTGGGACGATACCAAACTTGCAGGACACAATTAAAATACAGTTGAGACATAAATGAACATTACATTCCCTGCCATGATCAAAAATTATCAAAAGAAAGTAGTAGACATTTCATAGATCATTATCAAAAGTCAAACATAGAAAACGTAACTCTTGTACCGGAGAATAACGGCGCCGCAGTCAGCTGACGCCATCAAAACAACAGTCAGCTGACGCCATCAACACCAGCCAGCGCCATTAAGGGCAAGTCTCACCCGTAAGACAGTATTCAAGGCTCTCTTCAGTACTCAATTCTCCCGACATTGCCACTCTTGCAGTCGTCGGTAGGATGACACTTTATATAATCTGCAGATTTCGGAAAGAAGATGGAAAATGGCTTTCCTTTCTTGAAGGTGAGAAGTTTGTGTCTGTTTTAAACCCTTAGTATCAAGATAGAAACATGGCTCGCCTCCCTTGGAGGTTGGAAATGGCTCTCCACCCTCTTTGAAGGATGCAAATGGCTTGAAGGAAGGAAATGGCTCTCCATCCTTGAGGTATGTAGTATGTTGAGTCCAGTAACATCATGTCACACGTATTTCAGAACCATTTTCTTTCAGCGACATAAACAGAAACAGAAAACGAAAAAATTGTGACGTCATGGTGAATTAAGAGCCCAAACTCTGTTATTTTTCAACGTCAACACACGCACACAACTCTGATACACAATATATACAACAGTTTGCATACAAGAGTTTATTTTATGTTATTTTATATTCTAATGAATGCATGTTTCTTTCAAGATTTATGCTTGAAAGAGATTCGGTTGCCTACTGCCTCATGCACTTGCTGTGATCTACTAATTCTTTCATTTTGTCTTTCATTTGCTTAATTAACTTCTATCAGATATAATTTGTATTGCAAAGGTGAGCATCAGTGACATTCAGAGAAGTGTGTAGAATCCCAAACACAGACGTAACAGTGTGTAGAATCCATAATGCAGGCGTAGCAGTGAGTAGGATTCCTAACAGAGATGTTTCAGTATGTAGAATCTATGTACAGTATTATATAGAATCCCCAACACCACTGACTTAAAGAAAGGTGTCATTTGGGCTGACTTCCCTTCAAGAGTGGGCAATGGGGCCCACGACCCACCTATGAAAGTCCTCTCCCACTCACCAGTCACCCACCAAAGCTTAAATGACGCAAAGTTTTTGGGTGGATCCCGCCAGGAACCCCCAGCTACTAACTAATAAGCAAATTACAAATTACTTAATATTTGCTGACGATTTAAACACTAACCAACAAATCTAGCTTTTTCAACTGTATAAAAAGTCCATGATCTTGAACCCATGACCCAAGGTGTCTCCTCTCTTGGCCACATCTGCCTCCACTGCTATCTTGAGATGATTTCGGGGCTTTTAGTGTCCCCGCGGCCCGGTCCTCGACCAGGCCTCCACGTCCAGGAAGCAGCCCGTGACAGCTGACTAACACCCAGGTACCTATTTTACTGCTAGGTAACAGATGCTGGCCACATCTGCCTCCACCCCTGATCACATCTGCCACCACCCCTGACTACATCTACCTCTACCCCTTGTCATTTTCACTTAGGGCTGCAACTGTGTGCAATGGTGCTCGCAAATTGCTCCATTTAACCGAGTAAGACGTGAGCAAGGCGTCTGAGATCCAGCATGCACTTTACCGGATAAAGGGACCAACAAGTCCCCCCAAAGCTGGGGGGGATGGATAGGTCTGACCCACCTGCAACACAGGATAGAGGGATGGATAGGTCTAGGTCACCTGGTACACAGGACATGGGAGTGGATAGGTGTGTACACGTAGTAGAGAGGATAGAGGGGATGGCCCCGTGGGTGTAGTGTGAGTGTGGTAATTAAAGGAGCCTTGAAACAAATGGTGTTGGGTGACCTGTCACACAGACACAATATTAACACGGCAGAAGCGGAGGTGGGGGTGATGGGGGAGTAGAGTAGGGGGGGATAGGAAGATAGAAGAGAGTAAAGCTGACGAACTAGAATAAGTGTGAGAAATGCAGAGAAGATAAGAGAAGATATGAAGGAGGAGCTTGCACTCTAACGGTGACTTATACGGGAGAGATGGTGATTACCACGAAGATCATGAACCACAGGCTTGTAATACCAGGTGTGTAAGGGTAGTTATGGAATGTAATTTCTCTTCCCTCTTCCCCCCTACTTCCCGTCATCGGCTTGTTCAGACTCCTCATATGGCTCGTAGAGAAACGTTTAAATTTTCGAACTTTGGTAATGCCCCTAAGTATCTTGAATGTCGTGATCATAACCTTTATGCCTCCCTCTCTGGTGCTTCATTCGGTCAAATTATGTCTCCTGTTATAAATAATATTAAAATACTATATCTGTACTATTGCTAAAGCTACCAAGTCTAAAATATAATAGTCTATGCCTTTCATCATTTAGCATTCCATAAAATTTGCATATCATTTGCTAAATTTCTTCAACAGTGGATACATGTTAGCTTCTCGTATAGCAGTAAATGTTAAAATATATTAACTACATAATTTTCCGTCATTCCCGAAAGGCTGTATGCACTTAGATGCTTCATATAATATATAATTATTATGCCTACTGGGTAACCACTGTAACATTTTTGTTGTATATTTGATAAATACAATATTTTTATTACGAATTTATCTTAGCCTATCACCATAGCTCAGGGCCTAATGGCCTGGAGAGCCAGCCAATTGTCTTATCTCTAGACAAGTCTAAACTGAAGTCTAGGCTCTTGTGTAGACTTTCACAAGGCCGTGTGGGTGACAAGTCTAGACTCTTGTATCTTAGACTTTCACAAGGCCGTGTGAGTGACAAGTCTAGACTCTTGTATCTTAGACTTTCACAAGGCCGTGTGAGTGACAAGTCTAGACTCTTGTTTCTTAGACTTTCATAAGATCGTGTGGGTAACAAGTCTAGACTCTTGTATCTTAGACTTTCATAAGATCGTGTGGGTAACAAGTCTAGACTCTTGTATCTTAGACTTTCACAAGGCCGTGATGGTGGTACGATATGGGTTCATTCCGGCATTTCGTACACTCATGCTGTGATGTATTCTGTCCTGTAGTTGTATCCTGAAGTTGTATTCTGTCCTGTAATTGTATTCTTAAGATGCCAAAAGGCCATCTTCATCTTCTCCAACCTCAATACGACTTTGTAAACAGTTTACAAGCAATTAGCGAGATATACTCAGAATATTATACCCTCTTAGGTGTTCTACACATCCTCGTCACATTGCATATGTTGGGATTGAACTCTAGTAGCCACATGTTCAACCAAATGCTCATCAGGTGAACGACAGATAATGACAGGCGTATGACAGATAATGTCAGATAGATGACAGATATTAGGAGATAATTGACCGATAATGGCAGGTAGATGGACAAGAATGTCAGATAATGACAGATGGAAATTGGAGACAATGGTGGATGAATGACAGGAACACGGATGGTAGATAACGACCAGTGGATGGCAGATAACGGCAGGTGGATAATGGCAGGCGGATGGCAGATGCCAGGTGGATAGCAGACGAATGGCAGCAGATAATGCCAGGTGGGGGTGGATATATTGGCCTGTGATGGCCAGATGGCAGGTGGATGGCAGGCGGATGGCAGGTGGATGGCAGGCGGATGGCAGTCAGGGCTGTGGCAACTGGTCGTATACCCACTCTTTCCCCTTCAAGTTGCTAAATATTGCACAGATGTTGCTGGTGGAGAGGGGAAATGGTCAGGGATGAGGGATGAGGGGTAGAGTAGGGTAGAAGGTAGAGAGAATGGATGAGGGTATTGGAAAGGGAAAATGGTGAGAGGAGGAGAAGAGGGGTGACTGAAGAACGGAAGAGGAAACAGAGAAAGGAGAACAGAGAAGGGAATAGGAGCAAGAGAGTGGAGAAGGAAGAGAGAGAGAGAGAGAGAGAGAGAGAGAGAGAGAGAGAGAGAGAGAGAGAGAGAGAGAGAGAGAAAGAGAGAGAGAGAGAGAGAGAGAGAGAGAGAGAGAGAGAGAGAGAGAGAGAGAGAGAGAGAGAGAGAGAGAGAGAGAGAATGACAAAAGGATTGAGATATATATATTATATACAGTATATATATAAATGTCTATGTGTCTGTATATTTGTTCGTCCGAAAGTTGAGTTGGAGGACAGATGTCAGAGGCTAGCCTCTCTCAAATTTGCAGGGGACGTGGTGTAGGGTGTGGGACCAACATAAGTCTGGAAGGCGTAAGTTAAATTCACTAAGAAATATAACCGCACACCCGCAAGTCATATTCGCCAAATCGAAAATGAACCCAGGATGAAATGAGGAGTGTGGTTTCCGTGGAGTGCGGAGGCCACTTGGGGGAGTGAGAAGGGGGTTGGGGGGGTGGGGAGGGAAGGGGGTAGAGGTGGGACACACCTGGACTAATCAACATTCCAGGTGTGTACATGTAATAACGGCGTACCTGTGCCTAGGTAAACACCGCTTTTTCTCCTTCCGCTCCGGGCGCTGCTGCCTCGCCGCCTGGAGAATGCGCAAACTATTTCCATATCCCGAGCGAAGGTGCGCCAGGCGGAGGAGCGCCAGGCAATGGCAGGAGAGAGAGGGTAGAGGAGGAGGGGGAGAGGGGCTGAGATTTGAGAAGGTGAGGGAGAGGTAAAAGAATTTAAAAGAAATGGCTCTCGGTGAACAAGTAATATCAGGTGTAAGGAATTGTGCCCAATCGTTTCGACCTGTCCCAGGAACTGAACCCGGGGCCAAGCGGGTGTGAGAGGATTGGGGTAATCACTGCACGTGTATGCGTCTCACGGACCGTCACGGACCAGTCACGGAACAGTTGCGGACCAGTCACGGACCAGTTGCGGACCAGTCACGGA